TCTCTCCCAGCTAAGCTCAGGTGCCAGGTGAGGCTGGCTTGCCTTGTTCCTTCCCCAGCTGACCTGGGGCTTCTGGAAGGAGCACCGGGCTAGAGTTGGATGAACATTCTGTAGCTCCCCTGTGTCCGCAGGAGGCCTCTCTCCGCTTCACTCTGCCGGGCTCGGGCACCGAGGGGCCCACGAAGCAGGAGAACTTCATCTTGGGCAGCTGCGGGTGAGCCCGGGCAGAGCAGGAACTGGGGGATGGGCCTCTTGGGTTAGGAGATTCCTGGGGTGCCCTGGGGGCAGGAGGCATTGGCAGCCCTGCCCTGCAGAAGACTGGGTGTGGATGGGACAGCCAGGGGCAGCTTGCCAGAGGGCCAGGGGCAGGCACTGCTCTGACCCCGGCCCCTGCCTGTTACAGCACAGACCAGGTGAAGGGCGTGCTGACTCTGCAAGGGGACGCCCTCAGCCAGGCGGTGAGTCCCCCTCTCCCCCCATCCTTCAGTGGGAAGAGCACAGGGGCCTCCTGCTCATCCCAGCTCTGCTGCCAGCTAACTCTGACTCTGGGCTAGACCCTTGGTCTCTGGGGCCTGTTTCCTCCTTTGTAAGTTGGCAGCAGCCCCGTGCCTCCCCCTGGGACTGGCATGTGATTCAGTGAGAGGTGCGGGGGCTGGGCTGCTTTGCACACATGCCAGCCTGGCGTGGACCCAGCAGAGTGTGGGCATTGCCAGATTAGGCTGTCCCTGGATCAAAATGGAATCGCCAGTCACTGAGCTCTAGTCTGCGCGCAACCCTGTGCCAAGCACCAAGGCGTGGGGGAAGGTCCCTCCTCTGCGCCACCCTCTGTTGGCCTCCGCAGACACGCCCCATCTGCCCACTGCCTCCCTGAGGCCACCTTCCCCCTTCTCATCCTCTTGGGCCTGGGTTCCTGCTTCCTGACCTCCCTGTTCACCTGCTAAGTGGCCAAGGCATTAGGAGACCCTCCTCAGTGGAGCGGCTGGGCCTTGGCCACCCACCTCATGCCCCGTTTATGCCCCTGGCTCAAGGCTCGCAGAGGCCAGAGCAGGAGGCGTCCCTCTGCCTGGCTTATCCCGCTCTTGTCCATCAGGATGTGAACCTGAAGATGCCCCGTAACAACCAGCTGCTGCACTTTGCCTTCCGGGAGGACAAGCAGTGGAAGCTGCAGCAGGTGACCCAGCCCTTCCCTGGCCAGGGCTCAGACCTCGGGGACAGGCAGGGGCAAGCCCGCTGTGGGGCCGCCGAGGCCTCCCTGGGGCTGGCCTCAGGGGCGAGAGACTGGACCTGGGGATTTGTGGCCACCGCAAGCCTAGGAATGCATTTCCTAGCAGCCAGGCCGGGCAGGTGTTGCCTGCTGCTCCAGACCTGCCGCCTGCGGGGAAGTGGAGGCCCTGTCCTGCCTGCGGGCCCCAGCGGGAACCTCAGGAGTCCCCACTGCAGCAGCTGGATCTGGTGGTTCAGGATCCGCCTGAACAGGGCTGCCCGGGGCTTTCTGGACGCCGTCCCTGCTCCCTGCCAGCTCCCACGCCCTTGGGCCTCGGTTCTTCCCCTGTCCCCTCTGCTCTGGCGCAGTCTCCGGGGCAGGCCCTTGCTCCTGCACGTCCCCTGCAGCTGCCCCACCCATCACCCTGCTTCCTTCCGAGAGTCTCGAAGACAGTTGTCATCTTGGGTATTTACTCTGGTACCAGTCTGTCTTTTAGAAGGGAGTTACACAAGGACAGAGACCAGGCCTGCCCCAGTCTGTGCCGGCCGCCCAGCACCTGGGTCAGGCAGGCAGCACCCACCCTCCCCTCCTAGGGGAAGGACCCCAGAGACACTGGCTGCAGAAGCTGGCATGACCCAGCTCAGTAACCACCCGGGGGGCACTGTTTACAGATCCAGGATGCCAGGAACCACGTGAGCCAAGCCATGTACCTCCTCACCAACCGGGACAACAGCTACCAGTTCAAGACAGGAGCCGAGGTCCTCAAGGTGAGCCACCCACAGAGGCAAAAGCCAGGTTCTCAGCCCTGCCCCCTGCCCTGTGGCCTGGGCCCACGGCCTCAGGCTTGCTGGAGGTGGACCTCTCAGTGTCCCTGCGTCCAGCCCAGGGCTCCAGTCCCAAGGCCTCCACTGTGAGCTGTGCAACCTCAAGTTGCTTACTTAGCCTCTCTGTGCCTCCATTTCCTCCCTGTAAAAGCAGGACAAGCGGTAGAGACTATTAACCATGATAATGCGAGTCAGGTGGCCCGGGGTAGAAGCCTCCCCTTAACCACACTTTGGCATATGCGAAGAGCTGACTTGGCTGCCTGGACTTGTACGTTAGCTCTGCCCCACTTGCTGTGTGTCCTCAGAAAGCTCCCCTACCCTCTCTGGACGTCTGGTTCCTCATACTTGGAACCAGATGGACTGAGGTCCCTTCCAGAGCTGAGACGCCCTGGGGTAGTACAGCCCCCATGCCTCCACTCGACTTTGTCGGCTCACCCTGGTGCCCATGGCAAGAGCTACACAGCTGCAGCAAAGGGAGGGGTGGGCTCTAGGTGGTTCCACAATTCACGGGCTGTGTGTCCTTGGCTTCCCCCTTTGGAGCCTCAGCTTCCTCACCTGTGAAAAAGGGGCTGCCCCTGCCCACCTTAAACCAGCTCAGCCATCCCGCTGCCTCTTCCAAGAAGCCCTCCCTGGCCCCAAGCTACATTAGGGCCCCTTCCTCTGAGCTCCCTCATTGCCAGCACCTCTACCTTGAAAACCTGTGCCCCTGGCACTGACCTCCCAGGACCTGTACCCGGGACCCCTGTTAATAAGCCCCCGTCCCAGCGGTCACCAGGTCAGAGGGCCTGCCCCTGCCCCCGGTTACCTGCATCTTTAGCAGCCCCCGCTGTGGGGGTTCAGGCCCTGAGCAGCGTCACCTGGCGCAGGAGTGGGAGCTGCTATGACCGATGCCGGGGGAGGGGCCCAGGCCCCGCCGCCTGCGCCGCAGCTGTGACCCGTCCTTCCCCCCAGCTGATGGACGCGGTGATGCTGCAGCTGACCAGAGCCCGAAACCGGCTCACCACCCCGGCCACGCTCACCCTGCCCGAGATTGCCGCCAGCGGCCTCACGGTCAGTGCCTCCAGCCACTCCTGCCCCGGAGGGGGGCTCCACGAGGGGCACAGAGGAGTGCCAGCCCCCAGCTTGCAGGCACTCCGAATTCTGTGTCTGTGCAGTTTTCCCCGATGGGGTTCTTGGCTTCCATTCCGTGTCGCCCAAACATGTTAACCCTGTTTGGGGTCCGCGGTTCCCTCGTCAGCGGCCGGGAGGATTCCTGGACACCTGGGGCGAGTCTGGAGGCCCCAGAGCGGCCCGTGGCTGGGGACTGGGGTTCTGGCCGGGTGGTTCTGCAGAGGCTGGGCCCTCTGCGGACTCCTCAGTGACTCCAGGGCCCCAGACCGGGGTGCAGCAGGGCTGCGCTCCTTCCAGCTGGGCCAAGAGGGCTTGGGAGGGACCTCACCCTCCTGCTCCCCCCAGCGGATGTTCGCCCCTGCCCTGCCCTCCGACCTGCTGGTCAACGTCTACATTAACCTCAACAAGCTCTGCCTCACCGTGTACCAGCTGCACGCCCTGCAGCCCAACTCCACCAAGGTGAGCGGGACCCCTTCCCCGGCCCCCCCCCCACCACCACGCCCTGTGGGGGCTCGGCCTGACAGTCTGGTGTTGCTCTGCCTAGAACTTCCGCCCAGCTGGAGGCGCCGTGCTCCACAGCCCCGGGGCCATGTTGTAAGTAGGCAGGGGAGGGGCCCGGACCACCCACCCTGTCCCTCCCCTCTGCAGCCTGGGGGCCAGGGGCTGGGCGCACCTTCAGGCCCCCTCCCTTGTGCCCTAGCGAGTGGGGCTCCCAGCGTCTGGAGGTGAGCCACGTGCACAAGGTGGAGTGCGTGATCCCCTGGCTCAACGACGCCCTGGTCTACTTCACCGTGTCCCTACAGCTCTGCCAGCAGCTCAAGGACAAGGTGGGGCAGTGCGGCTGCTGGGCCCCTTCGTCTGGGGGGAGGAGGTTCCCAGGGCTCTTGTCACGCCTCCAAAATGCCCCCAAGCGTTGAAGTCCATCGTACCCCCTTGCGCACCAGGCAGCTGGGCCATGGCATTGTGAGGCAACCATACCTCCCCTGACCCACTGCCGTTGGGTGACCCGGACATGTCACCTGGGTCACAGAGGGTGCGGCAGGACCAGGCCCCGCTCTGTGCCCCCAGCCCGCCACAGACTGCACCGCCTCCCTTTGCAGATCTCCGTGTTCTCCAGCTACTGGAGCTACAGACCCTTCTGAGCACGGCGACCGGGAACCTGTCCCCTAGAAGGCGGCCCCGTGCCCCCACGTGCTCCCCCAGAGTGCTGGCCAGAGCTGGGCACAGCCGCTGTTTTCCCCCCTCTTTACCCCATCCTGCCAACACCTTGTACCAATGGCAGCAAACACTGGAGCCCTGGGTGGAGGGGACGCTGCTCTGGCGTGTTTGGGGGTCAGGAGGGCGGGGCCGAGGGCCCACGTTCCCAGCCCTGCCCTCCTGGGCGCCGTGGGCACCTTTGGACTCAGGGCAGGGCAGGCCCAGGCTCTCCTTCCTCTGTCCCTTCACTGCCTGCTGGGGGCTGAGGCTGGGCGGGGTACTGAGCTGGGAGTGGGGAGGGATGGGGGAGCGGTGGCCCGACAGGGGCCCTTGGAGAAATAAAGACCATCGCACTTTGCCTGGAGCCCCGTCTGTGTGTCTGAGTAGGGACCCTGGCTGGGATCCTGGTGGCCAGTGGCTCCAGGAGCTGGCGGCCACCCCTCTTCTCGGGGTGCGGCTTCCCGCTCCCACACCTCCTTCGGGAGAGGGGCCTCTGGCTGCCAAGAGGCCCACTGGGTGGTGACAAGAGCCCTGCCAGGGAGTTCAGCTGGGTGACCTGGAGTGATGCCGCTGAAGGCTTAGAGGGACAAGGTGGGCACCTAAATGGAGCAGTGAGTCCCCACGCTGCCCACCCAACGGGACTTGGAGCACAGTCCAGACTCGGCTCTGGGCAGACACAGGACATTGTTTACTGCACCCGGCAGGACACACAGGAAGTGGCTGGTGGGGACTCTCAGGGTTAAGGTTCCAGGGCCAAGTTGTCCACTCCCTTGTGTCTTTCCTGCAAGAGAGGCACAGAGGGGCCCAGGGTTCACTCCTCCGTTCCCTCTCTTTGGCCTCCCTCCTCCACCGGGGAAGGTTCCGGGCGGAGGGCCTCACCTTCCCAGCGCTTCTCCTCTGGGGTCCGGGGGAGCCGCAGCAGCAGCCGCAGCAGCAGTGGGCAAGGACCAGCAGCAGCAGGAACAGCACAGTGCCTGGGGACAGGACGAGCATCCAGATGTGGCCCCTGACCCAGGCCTGGGGCGGGAGGCTGATGGGCCACGGGCCGAGGCCATACTCACCGATAAAGGTGAGGAAGACGACGAAGGCAGCGGTGTCCCATGAGGACTGGAACGGCTGGTGGCTCCTCAGTCTGCCCAGCACTTCCTGAGCTGTGGCCTCCAGCTCCTCCAAGGACACACTCATCTCGGCAGGCACGTTGGAAATGCCACCTGTCCTGCCCCCCGCCCCAGGCCACCTCAGAACATGGGGCTCGGCCAGCTGGCCTGTCCTGGTCCCAGCACCAGTTTCTGTCCCCGCCACCTCCTAGGCCCAGCCCTCTGGTCCCTACGTTGACCACCTGGGCAATCCGCTCCCCCGCCACTGTCCTCTTCCCCCTTCTCTCCCCCCAGCAGCCCTGCCCCCAGCCCCACCTGCCTTCTGGGAGCCTCGAGTCCCCCCAGCCAGCAGGTCCAAGGTCCTGGGGAGCACGGACTGCTTCCTGCTTCCTCCCGGATCCTGATCCTGATCGTACTGCCTGAGCCCTTGGCAACCAGCCCCGCCCTCCCCAGGGCCAGCCAGGGCAGCCAGGACTCAGGGGACAGTGCCCGGGCCCAGCAGGTGTGCTTACTGCCTGCCAACTGCACAGGGGAGGCGTTGGCACTGCAGGGAGCCAGGGAGGAGGACACAGGCCTGGGGGCTTCTGCATTCCTGGGATTTCTTACCTTTTCTCAATGTATTAACACCAGCCTGCAGCCTGTCACACGTGGGCACTGTTGACTTCCTGAATGAAAGAGACAAGAGAGGGAAGGTGGAAGAAAAACCTGCCTACGAACGTTCCACAGCCCTGGGCAGCGGATAGATGAGCCTGCCATCCGTGAGGGGGTTGGTTCCAGGGCACTCCCACCCCCCCAACTCGCCCCCTGCAGATACCCAAATCCGCAGATGCTCAAGTCCCCAAAACAGGATTGGTTATAAGTATTTGCTTATAACCTGTGCACGTGCTCAGGCGTACGTTAAATTGTGACTCCTTATGATACCTAATGCTACGTACATGCCGCGTAAGTAGTTGTTCTACTGTATTGTTTAGGGAATAACGACAAGGAGCAGAAGTCTGCACGTGTGTTCGGCACAGACACAATTTTTATACCAGATACTTTCTTTCCGCGGTTGGTTGAATCCAGGCTTGCAGAGCCCGTGGGTACAGAGGGCGGCTACACTGGGAGTCTTCACAGTTCTTGTTTTCTCTGTCTTAATCCTCAAAATCCCCCTTGCAAGGTAGTGGTTAGTGTCTCTCAAATGAGCTGTTCCCCAGAACATGGGGCCTGGGGCCTCCTTCGTGCGCAGATGTGCCGAGGCCCGGGGGCCGGAGTCTGTGCTCAGCCCAGAGGTGGGCTGTAAACCGGGTGGACATGACTGCTTGTTCTTGTGGTGCTTGCGGTCCAGCAGGGGAGAAAATACCAGCTAACGCTGGGCTCTGCATCTGGCATTGCACATACATCACCTAACATATAGCCTCGTGGCAATCCTAACGCGGGGTTGCTTGCTCCTCCCATTTCACAGATGAGAAAACTGAGCCCTAGAGAAGTTAAGCACCTAGCTCAAGTCACATACCTGCTGTGTTCATTTCCCATTGCTGCTGTAACAGACTGCCGCAAACTCAGTGGCTTCCAACAACACGAAGTTACTATCTTACGGTTCTGGAGGTCACAGCCTAAAAGGGTCGTTCTGAAGGTTCTGGGGAGAATCCATTGCTTGCCTTTTTCGACTACTGGGCATCTAGCTGCCAGCCACACCTGCAGCAGGGAAGCCAGAATTCTAGCCCTCCAACCCCCTACTGAGGTCTGAGATTCCTGTTCCCCAGGGAGGGTGGTTTTGAAATGACTGAGGTGTCCTGCTGCAAAAATGAGAGGAGGGTGCACAGCCACTGTGGAAAACAGCCCGCAGTTCCTCGAACAACTGAACATTGAGTTACCCTAAGACCCAGAGGCTCTGCTGCTCTGTGACCTGGGAAAGCTCTCTAAGAGAATGGAAAACAGGGACTCAAAGACTTACGTGCGGATTTTCATCACAGAACCGTTCACAACCGCCACACGGGAAGCCCAGCGTCCATGGGTGGACGTGTGATGAACAGGATGTGGCCTGGCCACACGGGAATATTATTCAGCCACAAAAAGGAAGGAGGCTCTGACACATGCCATGTCGGTGAACCTGGGAAGTGTTAGGCTCGGTGACAGAAGCCAGACACAAAAGGCAAATCCGTAGGGACAGGAAGCGGACTGGTGGCTTCTGGGGCAGGGAATGGGCAGTGATGGCTGACAGGTGGGGGTCCTTGTAGCACAACAGACATGTCTTAGAACCAGAGGTGGTGACGCAGGTACTAAACGCCACTGAATCAGTCACTTTTTTTTTTTTGAGACAGAGTCTCGCTCTGTCACCTGGGCTAAAGTGCAGTGGCGTCAGCCTAGCTCGCAGCAACCTCAAACTCCTGGGCTCAAGCGATCCTTCTGCCTCAGCCTCCTGAGTAGCTGGGACTACAGGCATGTGCCACCATGCCCGGCTAATTTTTTCTATTTTTAGTTGCCCAGCTAATTCCTTTCTATTTTTTATAGAGATAGGGTCTCGCTCTTGCTCAGGCTGGTCTCCAACCCTTGACCTCAAGTGATCCTCCCACCTCACCCTCCCAGAGTGCTAGGATTATAGGTGTGAGCCACCATGCCCAGCCTGAATCAGTCACTTTATTTATTTATTTATTTTTTTTATAAAAATGGACGAGGTTCTGGGGCCCCAAGAGCGGGACCCCGGAAGTCGCCCTCAATCAGTCACTTTAAAATGGTTAACAGATAATTTTATGTTATGTGAATTTTACTCCAATTTTAAAAGGTAGAGGGGTGCAACTGTGGCCCCCACCCCACTTGGCCTGGCTGGGTGGAGAGGAGGCCTCCTCAGTCTTCCTGTCCAGACTCCTGGGTTCCTTGTTTCTAACATTTCTGACGTTTGTCCTCCCCATTTTGAAGGTAAGACCTACTCATTAAAATCTGGGAAACACCGAGTCATCAGAAGACAAAAGTCACTCACAGACCCCACCCAGACCCAAGCAGAGCAGTACTGGGCGGGGCTGCAGGGAGTGGTGCGGTGGTCCCACTCCTGGACTCAGACCCCAGCTGCAGCCCTCCAGCCCTCCCAGCACTCAGGCCTGGGCTCCTTCCCTGGCCTCTCTCTGCCTTTGTTTCCTCATTTGTCAAACGGGTGTGTTAATAGTGTCCCCCTCCTCAGGTGGTTGTGAGGATTAAATGGAATAACGATCTTGGAGCTTTCTTAGTGCACGGTCGCTCACAGGAAACCTGCACTGAGTGGCCTCGCGTTACCGTCCCTCACCTCTCGGGCGTGCGCCCCTCTGTCTCTCGTTCTTTGCGTGCAGGTGGCCCCATCTGCCTCGGTCACGCCGTTCCGGTCATCCTACCCTGGGCTTTTCCCAGCCAGCGCCTCCAGATGACAGCGGGCTCCCTGCAGACTTTTGCCAAAGTTGCTTCCGATCGATCCTTTGACCACGCCAGCGCCGTGCAGCTCCTGTTGGCCCTGAGGCTCCCCCCACCCCGCTTTCCAGAATTATGCATCCCTCACGGGGGACGGTTTTTCTGGAGAAAGTGTTTTCTCCGCACAGTGGCGACGTTCCCAGAGGTGCAACCTGCTTCTGTTCAGACTCAGCCCACACGCCACCGGAACCATCTGGTCGTCCTCGGACCACGTTCTCGGTTGGATTTGGGAGGAGCCGCCTTGCCGAACCCTCCAAGGGCTGTGGTGCTGCAGCTCCATGTCGCTGTTGGGGCTGAGCTGGCCTCGCTCCCCCCTCTAAGCCTTAAACCGAGCGCGGAGGGGGTGGAGGGCCCAGGAGGAAGGATGGGAGGAAGCGGAGGATAGAGGCTCAGGGCCGCTGAGGGGAGCAGGCCAGGGCGGAGCAGGTGGCCCCAGGGCTAGAGCAGGTGGCCCCAGGGCTAGAGCAGGTGGCACCGCAGCCCAGCCAAGTAGTGTGAGTGCGGTCTTCCTGGGACGCAGCCACACCCGTCCGTTGTCCGCTTACCTAGCGTCTGAGGCTCCGTGGCACTGCAGCGGGGACGCTGAAGAGCAGTTGCAACAGAGACCTTACGACCAGTAAAGCCTAAAAACTGGACTGTCCAGCCCTTGTCGGAAAGCACTTCCCAGCGCCCTGGACGGAGGGCAGCTTAGGGCTCGCCAAGTCCGGTGCCAGGAAACAGGTGAGAAAGCGCTGAGGAGCCCACGGGGGGGGGGGTCACTGTTGCCAGGGAAGAAAGGATTTATTTCAGTGACGCCTCAGCCGGGAGGAGGGAGGTGTGGGCTGCCTCAAACCCGCCTCCCTGACCAACAGGGTCAGGGGTTTTCCTGGAGGCGAAATGGGTAACACACGAAGGCGTGAGCGTCACCGCGTGTCGAGGCGGAGTGCGGGGCACGGGGCGCGGTGAGAAATCACGTATATCTCAGATAAGTCCCTCTCAGTGGGGGGGGACTTTAGTATTACAGTGAGCCAGGGGGTAACACTGGTCCTTCCTTCAGCCCTGGGCGCAGACTCCGTGGGTCCTTGGGCACAGTCTGCGCTGGGTGTCGCGAGTCTTGTCACACAGGTGGCGTGAGGCTGTGTAGTCATCTTGCGGCTGCAAGGAGGCTCCGCCGTTCCTGGGAAAGAAACGCATGAGGGAATTCCTCGGTGCAACAGAAAGTTGCAAAGTGCCGGTCAGCAAGCCACCCTGGCCTGGGGACTTGAGACATAAAAGAACTACAAAAAAACCCATTAAAG